GAGACCACTGAAATAAAGCCACGTCTATAACCAATTGATCTTCAGCAAAATCGATTTTTTTTAGTGGGGAAAGGATAGCCTATTCAGTAAGTGGTGCTGGGGAAACTGGCTAACCATATGCAGAAGAATGAAACTGGACCCCTACCTCTCACCATAAATAAAAATTAACTCAAGATGGATTAAAGACTTAAATGTCTTATTCTAGAAGAAAACCTAGGAAATACTCTTCTAGACACTGACCTAGGCAAAGAGTTTATGACTAAGTCCTCAAAAGCAAATGCAACAAAACAAAAAGTTGACTAGTGGGACCTAATTAAACTAAAGAACTTCTACATAGCAAAAACCAAAAACAAAAACAAAAGAAGTATTAACAGAGTAGACATGCTACCAACTGGAGGAAAATATTTGCAAACTATGCATCCAATAAGGGTCTAATATCCAGAATCTATGAGAAACATAAGCAAATCAATAAGAAAAAGACAAATAGCTGCATTAAAAAGTTGGCAAAGGACATGATAGGACACTTCTCAAAAGAAGACAAACAAGTAGCCAACAAACATGTTTTTTAAATGCTCAACATTATTAATCATCAGAGAGATGCAAATAAAAACTACAATGAGATACCATCTCACACCAATCTGAATAGCTATTATTAAAAATTTTTTTAATAACAGATGTTGACAAGGTTGCAAAGAAAAACGAATGCTTGTACAATATTGGTGGGAATGTAAATTAGTTCAGCCTCTTTAGAAAGCAATTTGGAGATTTCTCAAAGAACTACAAATAGAATTACCCTTCAACCCAGCAATCCTACACTGGGTATATACCCAAAGGAAAATAAATCGTTCTGCCAAAAATACACCTTCACTTGTATGTTTATCACAGCACTATTCATAATAGCAAAGACATGGAAAGTCGGGTGCAGTGGCTCTTGCCTGTAATCCCAGCACTTTGGGAGGCCAAGGCAGGTGGATCTCCTGATGTCAAGAGTTCAAGGCCAGCCTGGCCAACACGATGAAACCCTGTCTCTACTAAAAATACAATATTTAGCTGGACATGATGGCAGATGCCTGTAATCCCAGCTACTTGGGAGACTGAGGCTGGAGAATTGCTTGAACCTGGGAGGCAGAGCTTGCAGTAAGCCGAGATCATGCCACTACATTCCAGCTTAGGGGAGAGAGCAAGACTTTGTCTCAAGGAAAAAAAAAAAAAAAAAGACATGGAATCAACCCAGGTGCCCATCACCAGTATATAGGATAAAGAGAATATGGGGCCAGGCATGGTGGCTCACGCCTATAATCCCACACTTTGGGTGGCCAAGGCAGGAGAATCTCTTGAGTCCAGAGACCAGCCTGGTCAACATAGTGATACCCCCATCTCTACAAAAAAATTTTAAAAGTAGCCAGGCATGGTGGTGCATGCCTGTAGTCCCAGCTACTCAGGAGGCTGAAGCAGGAGGATTGCTTGAGCCCAGGAGGTTGAGGATACAGAGACCCATGATTGCCATGATTGCACCACAACACTCCAGCCTGGGTGACAAAGCAAGGCCTTGTCAAAAAAAACAAAAAAAGGGGTACATATATACCATAGAATACTACACAGTCACACAAAAAAAAGAATGAAATCACATCATTTGCAGCAACATGGATGCAGCTGGAAGCCATTATCCTAAGTGAGTTAACGCAGAAACAGAAAAACAAATACCACATGTTCTCACTTATAAGTGGGAGCTAAACATTAGATACACATGGACAGAGAGATGGGAACAATAAGCATTGAGGAATCCAAAAGGGGAGAGGGAGGGAGGGGGAGAAGGGTTGATAAACTACCTGTTTGGCAATGGAATCATTAGAAGCCCAAATATCAGCATTATTCAATATACCCATGTAACAAACCTGTACACGTACCCCTTGAGTTTAAAATTTAAAAATTTTTAAACAGGTCATAACTAGTTCATGTATTCAACAAACATTTATTGCGCTCCTACCTGTTCCACTCTGTGTCATGTTCTCTGAACCCCTAGCTGATGAAGACTTTGTTTTGGCACTCAAGGAGCTCATGGGCCAGAGAACTGTTCCCATTGCAGATATATACAGAGTACCCAAGAGACAACATGATCATCATCCTAGTCTCAGGCCTCCAGGAGAGGTCTCTGCGCCCCAGGCCAACAGCTCTTTTGGGCTTGAGCGTATGTGCAGACCACCAAAGAAAAATTTTCTTGTGATATCCTTGTCCACAGAATGGGGGAAGGGAAAGAGAAGTATATTTGTTTGTTCTCACACTGCTGTAAAGACATACCTGAGACTGGATAATTTATAAAGAAAATAGGTGTAATCAGCTCACAGTTCTGTGGGATGTACAGGCTTCTGCTTCTGGGAAGGCCTCAGGAAACTTACAGTCATGACAGAAGGAGTATGAGAAGCAAGCACATATTCATATGGCCGGCAGGAAAGAAATAGAGTAAAGCGGGAAATGCTACACACTCTCAAATAACCAGATCTCATGAGAAATCAATCGCTATCACAAGAACAGCAAGGGAAAAATCTGCCCCATGATCACCCCCTACTAGATCCCTACCCCAACATCGGGGATTACAATTCAACAAGAGATTTGGGTGACAATACAGAGCCAAACCATATAAAGAGATTGCAAGGGCTTTGGGACTAGACCTCCAGTGAGGCTAATTGTTGAGAAGGAACAATACTCAATCCAGCTCTGTTCAGCACATCATTATTGCAGTAGTCTAGCATCTCTTCCTGTCTTCTCCTCCAACCCAGATATTGCTGGGCCAAACTAGATTTTTTTTTTTTTTTTTTTCAGATTTCAACCTGACCATATCACTCCCTCTGGTGGACAGTTGTTGATTCTTTTTACCCAGCATCCATTTCTTCATCTTCTTAACCTTTCATTGTTTCTCCTTCATCACCTTTTTTGTCTCAAATACTCTCTCCCAAAAGATGCATTCTAGAAGTGAAGAAAACTAAAAGATGCATTCTAGAAGTGAAGAAAACTAGGGGGCACCTGGATTTGAACCAGGGACCTCTTGATCTGCAGTCAAATGCTCTACCACTGAGCTATACCCCCCGTCACCATTATAATTTCTATTAATATTATTTCAGCTTTGGAATCATGGTGTATTAACATGATGGTAAGTGGCAGAGATTAAATTTCAGCTGATAGAAAATAAAAGATAATGTAAATATCAGACAAGAAGCTGACTTCCAGGAACTCAAATGTTCTCAGGACTCTCTCCCTGTAGCTTTATTCTTTGGTTCCCTCTTAAGTTAGCTTTAATGTCTCAAACTCATCTCTCCACGCAGCTGAGACCCTGCCTCCAATATTTGTAGGTTCATAGCTCCACACTTGCCAGAGAGAAAAAGACTTGAGTCTAAAAAATTCTAGAGAAGGCCAGGTACGGTGGCTCACGCCTGTAATCCCAGCACTTTGGGAGGCCGAGGCAGGCTGATCACGAGGTCAGGAGATCCAGACTATCTTCGCTAACATGGTGAAACCCCGTCTCTACTAAAAATACAAAAAATTAGCCGGGCGTGGTGGCGACACCTGTAGTCCCAGCTACTTGGGAGGCTGAGGCAGGAGAATGGCGTGAACCCGGGAGGCGGAGCTTGCAGTGAGCCGAGATCATGCCACTGCACTCCAGCCTGGGTGACAGAGCGAGACTCTGCCTCAAAAAAAGAAAAAAAAGAAAAAATTTTAGAGAAATTCTAGAGAAGGACTCTGGTTGGTTTGGCTTGAGTTCTGTGCCTATCCATGACCAGCCACTGCCACCAGGGGTTAAGGTATGTGAGTGGTATAACCATTTCAGGAGTAAGGTCTTCTAAGAGTATACCTGCTTACACTCAGAATATAGTCTATAGTATGAGGAGAAAAGTGATTCTCTAAAAGAAGTCAGGAGTAGCCAGGACATGGCCATGGGGGACCATCACTGTAGCCCTAGGGGTTTCTCAGCATTCTCAGTAGAGTGGAATATATTAAGAAAGACTAGCAACCTACTGCCTCTGCTAAACAGAGCCATGGGAAGCCCTGCACAGCCAGATTCCTTGATGAGTTTCATGCTTTAATTCAACGAGCACTAGTAGGTGCCTCCTGTGTCCAAGATTCTAACAACCACACAATTCCTGGTCTCAGGAGCTAAAAGTTTAGTGGAAATGCCTGTCATGGCAATGCATGATAATAGCTCTTGGAATACAGAGGAGATGGTATAAATTACACACCTGTCCGAAACTAGGGTAATGGCACGTTCCCTATTCAAAATGGTCCTTGCATTCTGAAGGACTTATTTAATAAACAAGGGAGGTGGGAAGGAATTCCATGTGAAAATGGCGGCAAGAGCAATGGATTCAGGTGCAGGCTTGACAAGAAAGTTCGAGGATGGTCATGGCGCAGTGTTGGGTGAGACGATGGGGAAGGATCCTGGAGAGGCATCGAGGCCCAAGGGCTACAGTACAGCAGGACCTCCTTGCAGAATTAATAATCAACATGGGCCCTGAGTGTGACCCCAGTGGAGAAAAGGGCCCATAAGACCTGCTGATGTGTTGGGGCCGCAGCTTAGGGCACTGGACTGTAGGTCAAGAAGTTGGGGTTCAAATCCAGGTGACTTCTCCCTATTCTGGCTTTCGCACATGAATATCTTCCCATATTTTTCATATTATAGCCCACTTAAGAAACGAACTCTGGTATTCAGGGGTGGTCTTCACTGTGCGTGTTCACCAAGAGACAAGGTCTCTGCTTTGGGTTGAGTGGGTTGCCTAAAAAGATATGTTGAAGCCCTAAACTCTGGTACCTGTGAATGGGACCTTATTTGGAAACAGGGTCTTTGCAGATATAATGAGCTCAAGATGGGGTCATTAGGGTGGGCCCTTATCCAATATCACTGGTGTCCCTGTAAGAAGAGGAAAGGAGACAGACACAAACACAGAAAGAATGTCATGGGAAGATGGAGGCAGAGACTGGAGCGAATATCTGTAAGCCAAAGCACCAAGGAGCGAGGCCACACCAGAAGCCCGGAGGAGGCAAGGAAGAGCTCTAGCCAGCGCCACCGAGGAAGCAGGCCTGACTGGTACCTCCACTTCTGACCTCTGGTCTCCAGAACTGTCCAAGAATAAACTGCTGTTGTTTCAAGCCACCCCATTTATAATACCCTGTATGGCAGCCCTAGGGAATGAATACAGTCCCCATGCAGAGGGTTCCTTGGTCCCTACATCCAGGGCAGAGACTGCAGAAAAAAGAGTGAAGCTGCCCGACTGGGCCTGATTACCTCCAGGCTGTGAAATTCCAGCTTCTCCAGCCTGGCTGGCCTGCGCAGATGTGGGGGTCCCTGGGATTGCTAGGGCTGCAGCCTCTCTGGCCAGGAAATAAATAGCTTTCCTGGAGACCTTGGCTCCCCAAGGAAGAGGGAGGGCTGAGTAAGGGAAGGGAAGGAAATAGCCCAGATCAGGAGAAAATAAGTGGACCTCCCTGCACGTGGCGAAGTAGAGAACTGTTAGGAATGCTCGGTGAAGGCTGAGACGCACACACCACACAAAACGCCATTCCTTACTTATGAAGCCAGGAGGCTGGCCCAGACCCTCATAGGTCCTGTTCACCGCCTCTCACCTGCAGAAAGCAAGTGAGGAGGCCACAGTGCTCTGGGAGCGGGGCAGAAAGGGCTGCTCTGCAGCCAGGTGGGAGTCCTTTGGTCCTCTTTCCTGATGGTCCAGCTGGAGCTGTGAGTGTGGCCGCCTCCTTGAGTGCTAACTGAGTCCTCTTTTCTCTTGAACCTGCCTAGGACTGTTTTACCATTTGTTAAATGGGGATGTAAAAGCCCTACAGCGGGGCATGGTGGTTCACACCTGTAATTCCAGCACTTTGGGAGGCTGAGGCTGGAGGATTGCTTGAGCTCAGGAGTTTGAAACCAGCCTGGGCAACATGGCAAGACCCCAACTCTACAAAAAAAATTTTTTTAGATTAGCCGAGTGTGGTGGCACGTGCCTATGGTCCCGGCTACTTGGGAGGCTGAGGAGGGAGGATTGCTCAAGCCTGGGAGGTTGAGGCTGCAGGGACCCATCGTCACACCACTGCAGTCCAGCCTGGGCAACAGAACGAGATCCTATCTCAAAAAGAATAAAACAGAAGGTCCTGCAATTGTGAGGATTAAATGAGAACCTTCTTTTTTTTTTAACTTTTATTTTAGGTTCAGGGGTACATGTGCATGTTTGTTATATGGGTAAATTGTGTATCGTGGGCGTTGGATGCATAGATTATCTTATCACCAAATAATAAGCATAGTACTCAATAGGTAGTTTTCTGATCCTCACCCTCCTCCCTCCCTCCACCCTCCAGTAGGCCCTGGTATCTGTTGTTCCCTTCTTTGTATCCATGTGAAGATGTTTAGCTCCCACTTCTAAGTGAGAATATCCAGTATTTGGTTTTCTGTTCCTTTGTTACTTCACTTAGGAGAATGGTCTTCAGCCCCATCCATGGTGCCGCAAAGGACATGATCTCATTCTTTTTTATGGCTGTGTAGTACTCTAGGGTATACGTGTACCGTATTTTCTTTATCCAGTCTAAATGAGAACCTCTGCAGCAGGCATCAGCAAGCCATGACCTGTCACAGGGTACAGCCCCACAAGCTAAGAACGGATTTTACCCTTCTCAGTGGTTTGACTGGGGGGATGGGAAATGGGACCTCATGGGACTTGGGGAAAAGTAAATGAGACAATTGGTTTTTTGTTTTTTTTTTTTTTAATGGCACAGAGTAAGTGTTCAATAAATATTTGCTGTTGCTTTAAAAAAATAGTTTGTGGCATGCAAGAATTATATGAAAATCAAATTTCAGTGTCCATAAATAAAGTTTCCTTGGAATACAGCCGCTCTGGTTCATTTCTTCAATGTCTGTGGCTGCTTTCCTGTTAAGAAGGCAGAGCTGAGTGGTTACAACAGAGACTATTTTGCCTATAGAATAACAAACATGTACAATCTGGCCCTTTTCCGAACAAGAGTCTGACTCCAGGCTTACAGCCTTAGGGTGGTGCCTGACCCATAGCAAAAGTTTCATAAACGATGGCTAGTGGTATTATTGCAGCAGAGAGTAAGCACGGCTCACCGGAGAGCCTAGAGTTCCCTGCCACCCATTCCCGTTTCCCTGACTTTCCGGCCTCATTCACAACAGCTGCAACCCCAGCTCCCTCTCCTCCCCCAGCCTCATTCTCCAAGACCTCCAGGTAAACTCCTTTAAGATGCTAAAAACTACAAAGTCTGATAGCACACTAGGGATTCAGGATGTGTGGGGAACAGACAGGTTTCTGCGTTGCTGGTAGGAGTGTACACTGATACACCTCTAAGGAGGCATCTGGCAAGAACTCTTGAAATGCTAAAAGCACATAACTTTGACCCAGGAATTAGGCTTCTAGAAACTAAGAGGTCTGTGAACACAATTGTGAAATGACGTCTGTGCGAGGTAATTCCATAGCCACATCATTGTTAATTATAAAACATTAGAAGCAACCTAATTTTCCATCATCTGGGGACTATTAAATAAATTATATACAGCTGTACAACTGACTGCTAGGCACGCTTACAAATGGAGATGCTCTTTATCCACTGATATGGAAAGATTGCCAAGAAGAAACAGAAAAGCGAGCAAGGACAATGTGTTTCTGCATAGCCTGCTACTGTTCGTAGACGAGAAGAAACGGAGAGATGACATATTTGCATGTATGGCATGAAAAAGCTCTAGAAAGATGTACAAGAAACTGGGAACATCCGTTGCTTGCAAGGAGGGGACATGGGTGGCTGGAGACAGGAGTGAGAGGAGATACCATTGTTTCTGTGCCACTGGAATTTTGAACCATGTAAATATATTATTGCGTCAATATTTTCTTAACTTTCTAAAATGGAAGAGAGTGTAACTAGAACAAAACCTCACCGGAGCCTTCTCCTCTGCCCCCTTCCCATCGGGCCTCTATGTTCTCACACAAACATGTACCTTTTTTCCTAACAAAAGGTATATATAAAAGTTATTAAAACATCCACAATATTTTTTTAAAATACTAGGAGTGGCCAGACACGGTGGCTCATGCCTGTAATCCCAGCACTTTGGGAGGCCAAGGCGGGCGGATCACCTGAGGTCAGGAGTTCAAGACCAGCCTGGCCAACGTGGTGAACCTCTGTCTCTACAAAAATATAAAAATTAGCCGGGCATGATGGCAGGTGCCTGTAATCCTAGCAACTCGGGAGGCTGAGGTGGGAGAATCACTTGAACCCAGGAGGCGGAGTTAGCAGTGAGCCAAGATGGCACCACTGCACTCCAGCCTGAGTGACAGAGTGAGACTTTGTCACAAAAAAAAAAGGAGTAATATGATTCCCAAACCCAGTTATCTGTATATTATAAAAAAATACAAATTAAAAAGGACACAGGCTTGCGATGTCCAGGCACCCTAAGTTAAATTTCCCGAAACACTGGCTCTAGCATGAGTGTAGGGATTTGTTTCTCACAGGCATCCCGCTGGTCTGAGCCTTGGGGACCCTTGCCTTACTTGCCTTGTAGCCCCATCACCTAACACATAGCACATGACTTGGGTTCAGTAAATATTTCTGGAATGATAAAGGCCAATCCAAGCCCCTGGAGGGATGCCTTCTCCAGCCAGCAAACAGAGTTAACACCTCCTGGGGCCCACAGCCTTCAGGAAACCCCCAGGAGCACCCACAGAGAGAAGGATCCTGTGGGGTGGTGCCGGCAGCCTCCACCCAGCCCAAAGGAAGCTGCAGCTGGTTCACCCTGTCCCATGAGCTGTTCACTCTCCATACCATCAGCAATTGACCCACCATGAGTCCATTCAGGCTGCCATAACAAGATGCTATAGACTGGGTGGCTTCAACAACAGACTGATTTTCTCACAGTCCTGGAGGCTGGAGGCCCAAGATCAAGGTGTCGGTGGTGCTGGTTTCCCCTGAGGCCTGTCTGTGGCGTTCAGGTGGTCACCTTCTCGCTGTGTCCTCAAACGCCTTTCCTTTATGTGTGCCTATCCTGGTGTCTCTTCCCCTTCTCATAAGGATGCCAGTCCTCTTAGATGGGGACCCCACCCTAACAGCTTCTTTTTAGCTTCATCACCTCTCTAAAGACCTCATCTTCAAATACGGTTACATGATGAGGTACTGAGGTTTGGGACCTCAACGTATAAATTTGTGGGGGAGGCAGGGCGGTGGCTCACACCTGTAATCCCAGCACTTTGGGAGGCTGAGACAGGGCAGATCACTTGAGGTCAGGACTGCGAGACCAGCTTGGCCAACACAGTGAAACCCCGTCTCTACTAAAAATGCAAAAATTAGCTGGGCATGGTGGCACACACCTGTAGTCTCAGCTACTGGGGAGGCTGAGGCAGGAGAATCACTTCAGCCCGGGAGGCAGAGGTTGCGGTGAGTCGAGATTGTGCCATTGTACTCCAGCCTGGGCGACAGAGCAAGACTCCATCTCAAAAAAAAAAAATGGGGGGAGGGGGAAATAATTCAACCCATAACACACACAGCATGAATCTGCTCATGCTGTCACCTTCCGGAAACTTTTCTTGGTGAGTGTTACGGACTGAATGTGTCCTCCAAAATTCATATGGTGAAGCCCTAATCCCCAAGGTGATGGTGTTTGAAGGTGGGGCTTTTGGGAGGTAATCAGGTGTAGATGAGGTCATGAGGGTGGGGCCCCAGGGTGGGATTAGTACCCTTACATGAAGAGAGACCACATCTCCACATCTCTCTCTCTCTCTCCCTCCTTTTCTCTTGCTCTCTCTCCCTCTCTCCCCAACATGTTGAGGATGTCTGCAAGCCAGAAGAAAAGCCCGAAGGAGAGCCAGGAAGGAACCTGCTCACATCTTGATCTTGGACTTGCAGCCTCCAGAACTGTGAGAAATAAATTTCTGTTATTCAAGCCACCCAGTCCATGGTATTTTGTTTTAGCAGCCCAGGCTGACCAATACCGTCAACACAGTACTTTTTGTTGTTGTTTTGTTTTTGTTTCTGCTTGTTATCTAGCACTAACATTTTAAGAT